GGAGAGAGATGTGATTCTGGAGGCCATCTGGTCTACCAGGTTTCTCAGCTGGATTTCTATCCAGGTCTCAGCTGCTTGAAAAGATGGGGACTGCTGGCTGTCCATAGGAACCTGCTCCAATATTTAGTCAACCTTTCAGCCCTACTTGTGGTCAAAGAGATTATAGCTATTGCTCCTTTCTTGCCTATGTGACCACTTGATCACAGAAGGAAATTAATTGGCCTGGCATGATTTGCCTTTTGAAAAGTCACGTTGGTTTCCACCCAATACTTTGTGCTTTTCAAGTTGATGCTAATTGATTGATGTTAAGTTCTGTATTTTCCTTGTATTGAAGTTAAGCTGACAGGTCTATAATTACCAGGATTGTCCTTTTTCCCTTTTTAAAAAGATGAGCACTTCATTTACCCTTTTTCAGTCTACAGGGACTTTCTTTATCCTTTTGAGTTCTCAAAAATAATCACTAGCAGCGATGTAATAACACCTGCCAATTCCTTAAGTACTCTTCGAAGTATGTCATCAGGCCCTGCTGATTTGCCTAAAGCTGGATTTTCAAAATACTTTTTAACCATTTTATTCCCTGCTCTAGTTTGCACTGACTAGGTTGGCATTGTTCTGATAACTAAATCCCCAATGATTTTTTTTTTTTATTTAAGAACCAAAAAGTCTCACTGTCTTTTTTTTAATGGAGATTTTTTTCTTTACTAAGCAACTTCAGAGTTGGACACATCAAATTGAAATAATTTCCTGGGGAGGGGACCAAAACCCACAATAGGAAAAAAAAGTTAACACTGTCTGGGCTATAGCAGAACCCAGAGAATATATTTGTATAGTTGAAAAAATCTAAATGCTTTATAATTGACCTTTTCATACAAAATTATCTATTACATTTGTGATTTTCAGTTCTTGGTATTGAGGTCTATGGGACAATCTAGGAAATCTTCAAACTTGAGCTGAATTGCATGAGGCGTTAATGGCTTTTGAATCAGTTTCTCCTTGTTCAAGAGGTAGCAGCAGCAACCATTAGCACCGATGAGGACTAAATCACTTTTTCAGTCATTTTCATGAACTTCTTTTCCTATCTTTGAGGTAAATGAGATATTCCCTTGGAACTTTAGTTTAGCCTTATATCACTGGATAGGTTTATCTGTTACTTTTTTTTTTGAGATGAAGTCTTGCTCTGTCACCCAGACTGGAGTGAAGTGGCACTATCTTGGCTCACTACAACCTCTGCCTGCAGGGTTCAAGTGATTCTTCTGCCTCAGCTTCCTGAGTAGCTGGGATTATAGGCACCTGCCAACACACCTGGCTAATTTTTGTATTTTTAGTAGAGACAGGGTTTTGTCATGTTGGCCAGGCTGGTCTCGAACTCAGGTGATCCATCTGCCTCGTCCTCTCAAAGTGTTGGGATTACAGGCGTGAGCCACCACATCCAACCTTATCTGTTACTTTGTACGTCTTCTACAAATTGCATTTCTTGTACTTCCTTGTACCAGTAGAGCATAGAACTGTGTGTTTAAGTGACATGAATTAATTTTAGATGCATCTTTCTAATTTAGACATTATTCTCACTAGTGACTTCTGTTTGCCTGAAATTCACTTTAAAAATAAATGTATTTTAAAATGATTTTTTTTTTTTGAGATGGAGTTTCACTCTTGTTGCCCAGGCTGGAGAGCAATGGCCCAATCTCGGCTCACTGCAACCTCTGCCTTCTGGGTTCAAGTGATTCTCTTTCTGCAGCCTCCTGAGTAGCTGGGATTGCAGGCACCCACCACCATGGCCAGTGGATTTTTGTATTTTTAGTAGAGACTAGCCTGTTGGCCAGGCTAGTCTCAAACTCCTGACCTCATGATCCACCCGCCTTGTCCTCCCAAAGTGCTGGGATTACAAGCGTGAGCCAGCGTGCCCAGTGAATAATTTTTGATTTACAGGAAAATTGTAAAAGTAGCACAGAGAGTTCCCATACGTTCTTCACACAGCTTTCCCTAAGGTTAACTTCTTAAATAACTGGGTACATTTGTCTAAACTAAGAAATTAATGTTGGAACATTACTATGAACTATACTTTATTGGATTTCACCAGTTTTTTCACTACTGTGTTTTTTTCTGTTCCAATATCCAATCCAGGATTTCAGACTGCATTCAGGAGATTCAATTAAATATATATTTTATCATTCCCAATGACTCAAAATGATACTGTGTAATAATGCCCATCAAGATTCTACTAACCTTCACATATTCAACGAATTACTTTTATCTGCAGGAATCAAACTTACCTTATATAGATTAATGCTAAAAAGAGTGTCCTCTGTACACTTCAAAGATGAGTTTGGCAATCTGAGCTCTACTGAGTATCAGGGCATGTACCCTATGCTCCCATCAGGGAATGCAACCTGGGAATATGGCTCAAAAGGCCCTTTCTTTTCTGAGTTTGATTATTTTATTATGATATCTCTATTGTTCTTTTCTCCTTTCACTTTAATTGAGATGCTCTTTTGATTCCTGGGCAGGGTGAGTTCTACAGTGAGGCAAGTGAGGTGCAAATTTTAAGAAAGCACTCTTCACTCTGTTTCCTGCTCTGCTCCTGAGATTAGGAGCATAATGTATTCTTGATTTGTAAGGTCATGTCGCTTTCTTTTCTATCACTCACCCCTTCCCTGCCACTCCTTTTGTTATACATAACATCTAATGTAATATTTTAATCTTCTTACATAATTGTGGTCCTAACTCCTGCTTGTTTCCCCAGCTCCTCGTTAGACAGTAGTCAGAATTTCAGAAAGTCTTGGTTTCCCTTTTGTTCCCATATTACATTTCCATGTGGAAGGCAGATCTTAAAGGGATTTTCCAAGAGGATGAGTATAAGTCTACATCTAATTGTGTATTTGTATGCGTAGTCTGCTATTTAAATTCTGCACTAAGTGCTAGGGGAAAGCTTGTTTCAAGCTGTTAGACCTTCTTCTGGGCAATTAGAATAATAAAATGCAATTTAATACCTTTCTCCTTCCAAGTTGCCAGGTACATTTATAAGCCACATGGCTTTTCCTGACTGGGGGAATAAGAAAACTCATGACAGCAATGGTGAAATATCCTAAAATGTTAATATTTAGAAAGAAGTAAATTACGATAATCTTCTTCCTGAGATCCATTTAAGAAACCAGTGGATTTTTTCTCTATTTGTGACTTCCTGAGGAAAGTAATGCTTATGACATGAAGTAGAAATGCTTTGTTGGTAGTATTTCTAGGGCATTGCAGAGGAACAATTTGTGGTTTCAATAGTGAAGTGGTAAGTCCTGGGAGAACTCTAACAGACGCAATGAAAAGAGGCCAGATTCTTGGCCACAAACAGTGAAGAACACAGTGGTGGCTTCACAGCCTCCCAGAGGCTAACTTTGGGTGTCCAGCAACAGGTCTGTGCAGCTAGGACCTGCTTTATGTTTACTGAGAATTCAAGTCACTAAATGGAAATGAAGACCACAAGTAAAGAATTCTTGGAAACATGAAGTGTTTAGAGAGCTGTGAGAAAATGTCTACCAGCTGGCTCTCCAGCTTGTGTGGATAAATTTAGAGACTGACTTAAAGGCCTCAGATTTAGAGCTTCCAAAGAAAGAAAACCTCAGACTGAAACGAAAATTGCCTTCCTCAGACTGAAATGAAATTGCCTCAGCTGATGAACAGCCTAGACTCTAGATAAGTATTGGTCCAAAATCACAGTCTCCCGAAAGATGTTCTTGCCAGGAGGTCTGCGTGTTCACACATATGTAGGATCAGTGTTACTGAGTGTCTTGGCTTGGGCACCCTTTAAAGTAGGCTCTGTGACAAGGAACTGAGCAAGTAGTAGTTGATGTGGGAGGTGGTCTTAGGACTCTGGTTGGGGAGTGGGAGACTGAAACAAGGAAGGGAAGGAAGCTGATAAAAGGTGTGTCCACTCGTTGATTGATGGGCATTTGGCTGGTTCCTTATTTTGGCATGTGGTATATAGATACAATGGAATGCTACTCAGCCATAAGAAGGAATGAATTAATGGCATTTGCAGCAACCTGGGCGGAATTGGAGACTATCATTCTAAGGAAAGTAACTCAGGAATGGGAAACCAAACATCGTATGTTCTTACTCATAAGTGGGAGCTAAGCTATGAGGATGCAAAGGCATAACAATGATACAATGAACTTTGGGAACTTGGGGAAAGGATGGGAGGGGTGAAGGAGGGTTGAGTATATAGTGCTCGGGTGATGGGTGCACCAAAATCTCACAAATCTCTGATAAAGAACTTATTCATGTAACAAAAAAAAAAAAAAAAAAAAAAGAATTTGGTAGAAAAAAGGTGTGTCATCAAGCTAGTTACCGATGTGAGCAACTGGGCTCAGCTCTATTGAGGAAGGCTGCGAGACACCATGCCTCAAGTAACCTCTGACTAGGGAGAAAGGAAGGTGGGAGATTTAATCTACCATCCCCCACCTGATATTGCTTGAAAGTTGCTTCTAGGGGCATTAACTCTTGAGAACCTGAGCTTGTCCTATGATCAGGTTCCTGTGTCCAGAAGAAAAGCTCGAAAACCGTGAGACACAGGTGCGGCAATAAAGACCCCTTGCTACCCTGATGAACACTGATACCTTGGAGCAGGTGTGATGCTTTTTATTTTCATGGTTGACTTAGAAGTTTATCTGAGATCCATAGCAGATGCTGCTCTCCTTGTATCACTGTGATCTGATATTTTCAGGGCAATGGGCTTTAAATACAGGTGTGAAAGGCCAGATAAGGAAAATATTGTGCCTAGCATGTACGTGACCTTGGAGATAGACGGAAAAATCCTGAAGGCAGGAGTGACATTTTCTGTATGTATGTGTGTTAGGGTGTGTGTGTTTAATTCTCTTAATTCTCTCTCATTGCTTGTTCAATAAGTGCTCTTGAATGAACAGTGAAACAACTTTCTATTGTTTCCCCCTAAGGGAGCAGGGGCAGAAGTCAAGGGAGCAGGGGTGGCCGGCTGCTGCCAAGTCCCTTACGTGGCTGCTGTTCATTGCCTCCTCCATGCAGAGCTGATTGTCTTGCAAGGTCTTCCTTTGTCTCTTGCAGACATCATGCAGCTTCTTGATGTCAAGTTGCAGGCTTAACAGCTTGCTGTTCAGGCTGCTCACTTCTCTGTCTCTCTCCCCTGCCTAGGCAGCCAGAAAAACAAAAGCATCAATTATAAGCTATCAAGAAAGTGCTTGCTTTCATTCACTTAACAGGTTGACAGTGACTTTAAATTTGCTGGAAATTTGTCCATCAACCGTTAGCTGTTATTACTCATCCTGTGTAACATTTACACAGTTTCCAATTGCCTGGTGTCTGAGTGCTCTGCATTATTCAGACAATTACTGATTTATATTAATTAATCTTCACCACACTGTGGGGGTGCACCACAGACAATTCCCCTGTTTTTCAAGAGGAAGTCAGTGCCTAGAATAATTCCAGGCACCTAGTGGACTGTCTATAAATATTAATGGCTCTGCCACTGATGAACACATTGAGATGTCAAATGAACTTGTCAAGACAAGTATAGTGAATCCATGATGGGCTTGATGTGGGATTCTGAAGTCTCTTATCTTTCTCTTCTACCCACTAGACCAAAGGATCTCCCTCACCTACAAGCCCGGTGCTTTTCTTTGGAGGCATTCACAAGGGAAACAAAAGTGAAATCCCTGGGCTGGTGGCATAAGATCTCTGTCTTTGATTATGAGTGAAAAGAATTAGCTAACTGTCTCTAGATGGGGATGGAAAGTAGTGATTGACATATAAAGAGTGTATGGGGCAGAGCAACTTGAGTAGGGGTGTGGGTGCAGAGTTGTTGCAGGAGGGTGGGGCTTCATCACACCACGATGCCACCTCTGCTCCCAGTGTTGTGGTTGGCAATGGTGTCAAAGAAATGAGGAAGAAGTCCCATGTGAAGCTGTGTAGTCCTTCATTTCTTTCACTATGCTGGCTTTCTACAACACTCATGAGCACCACTGCTGAGTTTTAAATCTAGGAACTGAGGCTGGTTCCTTTATGGAAAGTACATAGTTTGGCTCTGTGTTCCCACCCAAATCTCATCTCAAATTGTAATCCCCACGTGTTGAGGGAGGAACCTGGTGGGAGGTGATTGAGTCATGGGGGTGGTTTCCCCCATGCTGTTCTTGTAATAGTGAGTTCTCATGAGATCCAATAGTTTAAAAGTGTGGCACTTCCCCTTGCTCTCTCTCACTCCTGCTGCCATGTAAGATGTGCCTTGTTTCCCCTTTGCCTTCTGCCATGATTATAAATTTCCTGAGGTCTCACCAGGTATATGGAACTGTGAGTCAATTAAACCTCTTTTCCTGATAAATTACCCAGTCTCTGGTAGTTCTTTATAGCAGTGTGAACATGGACCAATACAGTACCTATCTCTTAGGTTAGATTACCCAGAAGTTTCTTAAGTGAAGATTCATGTCATCTATTAAAGAAACACTCCTAAGAAAAACCAGCATGGAAGAGGGGGAAGCCAGACAGGGAAGGGGAAAAAACCAAGTACAGGTACATTTTCAGAGAATCCTGTGGGCAGTAATTTTAGCCTGATCATACAGGAAACTCTGGAATATGAGTTACACTTTAGAGTCTGTCCTGATTGGTGCTAATGAAAGCTGGGCTGTCAAACTCAGCATCAGTTAGTCAATGGCCAATGGCTGCTCCATGGGTTATAAACTCCTAGGAACTTCCAACTCTCTGCCCCTGTAGGCAAAGTGACTTCAATAGTCTCAAGGCAATTCTTCTAAGAGAATTACAGCTACAAAAGTGCACAGTAGGTAGGGGATTGGTACATGGAAATAGTGAAGGAATCTAAGCCACAGTGTCCAAGGTCTCACATCTGGTTAGCAATAAGGCCTGGAGAGCACGTTCATCCTGACCCTGTAGCTAGTGCTCTGCCATCATATCTGACTGACTGGTATGTCTTTTGAAATATATGAGCTGCATAACACACATTCCCAGAGGAACTGGAGACCTGATATGGATATTGTAAATCAAGCCTTACTGGACAGGTCAGTTTAAACAACTCCTGCACAAGGCCGAGGGGGTGCAGAGGACAACGGTGAGAATCGGACACTGCAATGTCAGAGTATTCGGAATTCAGGAGGTTTCCCAGAAGTGCTGCTGTCTCTGCTGATTTATTTCTTCATTTCCATTTAGTACCTGGATTTTTTTTTTTTAATTTTTTTTACCACTTTACAGTTTAATTAGGTTAACGGCATGGCTCTGTCATTAAAAGGATTTCATTATCTCCAAACTCTCCCTCCTCCTCTCTTGCTCCCATCCTTCGTTTCTCACTTCCAGAAAAATAACAGTGGATGTCAACTGCCCCAAGCATGTAATTACCATTAAGACAATTACCGGGGACTCTCTTAACAGAATGCGTGTAGAGTGGCTTTAAAAAATGGTGTACAGACACTGTTTTCTAACTTGGAAATAAAATCCTTAACTCGATAAAGAGTGGTAGTTTGATTCTGGTGCTTTGGATCCCTTTCTTGCGGTTACCACACTGGGAATAGGGTATGGAGCCTATTTCCCTCTGGGAAAGGGGACCCTAAGGAGCCTCTCCACACTGGCCACAGGACTTTCTTTGGCATCTATGAGCAGGTTAGGTGACAACAAAATGCCTGCTCCACAGGAGAGCCAAATGCCCTATACTCTTGCCTTGGTGCTGAATATATGTGTTTCAAGGCAGAGACCCTGACACCAGATTGTTCCCCATGGAGACTAGCACACTGAGTGCTCACTAACAAAATACTGATGAGACACACTTGAGTCTTTCTAAATTAAAAGTTAAGTGCTCTCTCTCAAGCCAACAAAAATATCCTTTCTTTCCCCAGTTTTGGATGTCCTCTGAGCAGAAGAGGCCTGATGGTCCAATTTTTTTGTACCACCAGAACTTCAGAATTGAATCCTTAATGTAGATGATCTCATCTAATTTGTATATTTAGCGTTGGCTCAGAGTCTCTCAGAAAATGTCTTCATTCATGAAACAAAAGGTTTGGAATAAATCATCTTTCTTTGAACATTCCTTAAACCAGTTGAATAACAAATATGTTTTGATGTACGTCAAGTGAAATTTACTTTTGAAAACAAAACTTAACCATTCTCTCCTAAAGACCAAATTATAAAGAGGTTGTGATGCATCAGAACAGGGGTAAAGATTCTGGGAGAGTGATCAGGTGATTTCCAGAACCATGTTCTATTTTTAATTGTAGGAAGTTATCAGAAAAACCTGTGCTCAACTCAGAACCCCAGAAAAGCAAATGTTTCCAAGGTCTCAGTGAACCTAATTTCTTGCTAGTATCTTGCACAGATATTACCTGTAAACTATTTATAATCGTATCTACTTTATGAAGGCTAAATTCCAGGCAGATGCCTTTTGAGTATCAACATACAATAGGAAAAGATTTAATCTGACATTTCATCAATCATAGCTCTGTAACCATTACTAGGGCATGAGATGAACTGAGAACATAATGTTGACCCTCAGGCACCATCTGATCCTGTCCTGGATCTGAAGTCATTAACAATGGCTGAAATCACAAGTCTCTGCTGCTAGGTGAGTTTTCATTTACCTAAGTCATGTACTTACATACCCGGTTTGTCTTCTATAAGGATGGAACCTGGTCACTCTGCTTTGAAACATATGACATCAGCAGCAGCTATCAACCCACAGGCAAAATGACTAGTGCTGATACTGTAGATGTTACCATATTCCTTATAACTATTGGAAAATAGGTTATTTACTCAAGCAAATTTTCTGTATTGATTAAATGGATCTTTTGTCAAAAAGCATGGTATCTCAAACATGTATTTCAAAATAGGAGAAGAAATTTTTCTCTAGGTTTCCAAGTATTGACAGTCTCAAGCTTCTTCTTGGGGGAAGCTGATGTTAAATTGAAGCTCATGATTCAGTAGCACTTTCAGAGCACAAGAACATTGCAAAGATTCAAAATGGCAGCATTCCCAGGGATTTGGCATTTTAAGAAAACTTGGGTGGCAATTTCCAGAGTAATTTTGGAGTCAACCAATAACACCATAAAGATCATCATCTTTGGGATATTATCTTATTTGTCTGAGGATGAGGACAAATCTTCAATCATCAATGGGAAACCACTTTTAACCACCAATAATATCAGAACTATTGAATTTATAGAGAGTGTTATGCCTTAAGAAGCATGAAGTCTTAAAAACTAACATTGATTCAGGAATTTTTACATTTCGCTTGTGTCATAATAGAGTTTAGAGTTATCTACAGTAATTTTAAACACTATTATTGATATTACTAACTTGATTCCCAAGTTTACTTTTCCATTTATAGAAATATATAGTTTTTGCATTACTTATGATGGGAATTAATGGATACTTATACAAGGTTTTGCCTGTGAACAAAAATTTAGAACCATTTATGTTCATTTACTGAAGAGTGACTATATTTTATGGTATTCTAAATTCTTTAAAACTTGGCACACCCTATAAGTATATAGTCTAGGACACATATGACATATGGTGGAGATCAGCCAGCTAAGGAATGTGGGCTGATTCTGTTGGCACTTGGGCAGTTTTCACAGACTTTTCACTACCATATCACTTGAGAAATTATTCTACTAAGAAGGTAAGCTCCATGAGAGAAGAGATTTTTGTCTATTTTGTTCACTGCTTTATTCCCAGCTCTGAGAACAATGAATACCTGGCACATTGAAGATGCTGCAAAGATATAACTTAAATGAAGAAACAGCCTTCTTGAAAATCCATACCAGATACTTGTTCCCCACAGAACTGGTAGCAAGTTCTGTGTGGCTCCAGCAATGCAGCAGGCAAGGAGTGGACTGCCTGTTTCAGAATCTACTCACCTCTTGGTAGGAGGTCTGTTAAAAAGCACATCCTATGTGGGACAATCCTTTACTCATCAAAACAGCCCCCTTAAATCCTTTCTGGAACAAGGTAGGGCATACACAAATATTGTTGTTTTTTCTGAGACAGGGTCTTTGTCGCCCAGGCTGGAATGCACTGGCGTGATCATGTCTCACTGCGGCTTCAACCTCCCAGGCTCAAGTGATTCACTTACCTCAGCCTCCTGAGTGGCTGGGACCAAAAGAGCATCCCACCACACCTGGCTATTTAAAAAAAATTTATCTTTTATACAGACAGGGGTCTTACCACATCGCCCAGGCTGGTCTTAAACTCTTGGGCTCAAGCAATCCTCCTGCACTGGCCTCCCAAAGTGCTGCGATTACAGGTGTGACTCACCACACCTGGCCCCATAAACACAGTTTGACCAAAATATTAAACTAATCAGACACTCCATTTTCATATCATTCCAGATAAAGAAAGAATGTTAGCAACAATAGTTAATATTGATTAAGTGCTTTCTATATGCACTATCTTTGCTAACCCTCATGCCAAGTCTTTGGAATAGGTGCTCATCATTCATATTTTCTAGATAAGGCAAAGGAAACTTAGAGTAGGCAACAAACTCGGTATGATCATACTGCTGGTAGATACGAACCCAGACTCACCCAGCTTGAGTCTGGGCTCCTAAACACTATGTTCTGCTGCCCACCTCTGTCCATGATATTTTGTGATGCTTATTACTGGAATTTTGAATCATAAAACATGAAAAAGTGTTGCTTGTAATGAAGATTCAACTCCATGTATGTAGAGGAGTTAGGAGCCTTACCTCATCTTTCATTTCCTTGGCAGCTCTCAATTCTCCTTTAACCTTTAGTATTTTCCAAGCTTTGTTATAAACCTGAAAAAGTCCAAATATTTAAGATGGAAAAAGTATAAACGAGCCTGCCCTTTAAAGATTTTCCCAGCTGGATCTATGCCCTCAGCAAGAGGTTTGGAAAATTTTCCTGAACTGTTAGCAATACCTACTTGCCTACCCATCTGTTTGTGTTTTCAAAAGTGTGTTAAAACCTCACGTGGCAGGACTGTGGTTTTACATCTTTTCCAGAAAGTCAGTACTTGGTGAACCAAATGCTTTCTGAATTCACCCTTTTTGGAAAGCAAAAAGTCTGAATCAAGTTTACTTTTTGGATGTGTATGTACTCTATGGCTCAGATATAGTTAACATTATGTACTTATGAACCAGACATGATGTGCATGACCCAACTTCATTCTCACATGAACCTTGGGAGGCAGGCACTACTACTATCTTCATTTATAGATGAGAAACTGAGGCCCAGAGATGGTAAGTGACCTACCCAAGGTCACAGAGGCTCACTTACTACTCTGTGAGGAGCTTCCATTAATTTTGTAACTATTCATATGAAATACCTGATGATGTGATGTTTTTGAAGCATCAACTTGCCATAATGTTGGTGCTTATAAAGTTAGGAAACTTGTGAAGTGCTGAGACTTATCTAGATAGAAAGCCTCCAAGGGAACCAAAGATCTTTGCACATGTATGTGTGTGTAAGCACAGGATGATGCATTTGAAGTCATAATGCACTGAACTTATTAAAATTATCTAATTCATTCTGTTTTTAACCCTAAGAATAGAGAATATTTCCACCAGGAACTTACCTGCAGAACAGCTCAAAGAATGAGAAGCTATCAAAATACTCATTCTTTGTAATAAACCACACCCCTATCACTAATATAAGCCAAGAGGAAGAAAGAATGCTGGTGATCTATGGAATTTAGAATGTTTTATGGAGCAGAATTCTGATCTCCTGCATTGTATGCCGTCTGAAGTCTTCATGCACAGAGGTGTGCTGTGGGAATGGAGGTGTGCCTCAGGCTCACCTGGTGGGGACAGGCTAGGTGATGGTGCAGCAACAAACAATGCCCAAGTCTCAGTGGCTTACAACCGTGAAGATTTATTTTTCACTCATTCTGCATGTCCTTTATGAGTCAGCTGGGGCTCTGCTGCACATTGTCCTCAGTCTCCTGGTAGCCCTCAGCTGGCGGAAACTTCTATTATCTAGTATGTTGCCTGTTGCCATGGTAGCAGAAAAGGAACTTGGAGAATCACCTACTGGTTCTTAAAGTGGAAGTGAAACACTTTGCTTCGGCTCACATTTCATTAGCCAAAACAAGCATGCCCAACTTCTTCCTTTATCTCCCCAAAGAAATATAGGCATGTGTCAGAGAGATTGCAGGTTCAGTGTCTGACCACCAAAATAAAGCAAATATCACAGTGAGGCAAGTCACATAAATTTCTTGGTTTCTCAGTACATAGAAAACTTACATGTTTATACTATATTGTTGTCTACTAAGTGTGTAATGGCATTATGTCTAAAAAAACAAGGTGCATAACAATTAAAATAATTTATTGCTAAAAAATACTGATGCAAACACAAGAGAGCACATGCTGTTGGAAAAATGGTGCTGATAGACTTGATGCAGGATTGCTACAAATCTTCAATTTGTTAAAAATGCAGTATATGTGAAGCACAGTAAAATGAAGAGCAGTAACATGAGGTATCCCTGTATTGGGGAACATCACAAATGACTTCCACACTAGTCAAGCAAGAAGATTAAAAATAGTGTAGCATAAAGAACACTAAACAGGGTTCTAGGCCACCAAGCTTCTAAACCTCATTCAGCACCTCACTGGAGGAGTGGCCTTTGGAAAGGCCTTCATCTCTCTGAGCCTATGTTTCTGCTTCTGAAGCTGTAATAAATGGCCTTTAAAGGTCTTTCCTAGCTTTAAAGTTTACTGATTCAGTGCTCTACCATGATGGACATCTTTCTTTAGGAGGAACTATGAACTCAGCTCAAGTATCATACAAAAAGCTATAACAGAACAAATGTATCCTTGAGAATCACACTTCTCTTCAGGCAAGCCTGCTGCATAGTCAGGAGATGATTCTGAAATCTTGTCCAAAAGACAGAAAAATGATTTTCTAGATTGTGATGATTTCATCCACTATGAAGTTACGCAGCTGTAGTTGCAAGACGCAAGAGCATTTCAAAGGAAAAGTAGACGGCACAGGTTCTAATAATTGCATGACAATATATTGAAATGTACTAAGTAAGGTAAATAAGAAGAAAAAAAGAGCTGGAGTTTGTCCCATGAAGGAGATGTCAGAATCTTGAGTCATTAACAATAGCAGTGGGCCATTTGGAAGGGTTTATGATGAAAAAACTGGAAGTGTTATATGATAGGTTTCTGATGCATTTGACAGTAATGTTTGCCAGATGGATAGGGAAGAGTGCTTTGAGGGAGCCCCACAGGCTTTATGAAATGCTCATGTGAACCTTCACAGTGCTGTACAACTGAAGAGTGCAGCTGGACAGACATTTTGTGGAGGAGGGACTCATCCCAGAGGGAGGGGCTCTCTACCAGATCCCCAGCTACTGACTCTCTGGAGCCAGGACTTTGTTCATGTCTCTCTCTTCTCAAACCCTTGTTCTTACATATTCTGTTCTGCCTCTGTGTCTCTGTTGAGACCTTCACTTCTTCATGCCTTGTCTGTTCCATCTGCCCAGGGAACTCCTTTCTTGTATTCAAAATTCCTGCCATCTACTTTTCAAAGTAGGCCTTCTCTTGATGACAGCTGTATCTAAAAAAAAAAAAAAACAAACATGATTGTAGTGAAAACAAAAACTTGGCCAGAGCTTCTAGTGAAGTTTTGTGCCTCTCTTCAGTCCACTCTCAGAGCACCTTGCAGATTCCCAAGAAACACCTAACACCACATCTCAAATGGGTGACTATGGTAGCAATTATCAAGCTGGGTGTGCAAAAAGAGAATGTAACAATTTCTATTACTCACTGTTTTTGTAAGCCCCATTTTCACCAAATGGGAGAAAACATAATCTTGGTAATTTCTGAGAAAATGCCATGACTTTCAGGTTAAAAATGAATCAGTTCATGATTCCCTCGACCTCTTTAAGGCCCCTCCAGAGTCTGCCGAAGTTTTTGAGATCCCAGTTTGGGATTCTGGCACCAGGGGAAGCTTCTGGTCCATGGTCATGGGCATCTCTCCCAGCTAGAGTATGGTGAGGTGTCATTGTCCTGGTCAGTAGGCCACATGTATTAGTCTGTTCTCACATTGCTATATGGATATACCTGAAACTGGGTAATTTATAAAGAAAAGAGGTTGTTTTTTTTTTTTTTTTTTTTGAGACAGAGTTTCGTTCTTGTTACCCAGGCTGGAGTGCAATGGCGCGATCTCGGCTCACCGCAACCTCCGCCTCCTGGGTTCAGGCAATTCGCCTGCCTCAACCTCCTGAGTAGCTGGGATTACAGGCACACGCCACCATGCCCAGCTAATTTTTTGTATTTTTAGTAGAGATGGGGTTTCACCATGTTGACCAGGATGGTCTCGATCTCTTGACCTCGTGATCCACCCGCCTTGGCCTCCCAAAGTGCTGCGATTTCAGGTTTGAGCCACTGCACCCGGCCAAGAAAAGAGGTTTAATTGACTCACAGTTCTGCATGGCTGGGGAGGCCTCAGGAAACTTACAATCATGGCAGCAGGCACCTGTTCACAAGGCAGCAAGAGAGAGAATGAGAGCCAGCAGAGGAAATGATAGATGCTTATAATACCACCAGATCTCGTAAGAACTCACTCGCTATCATGAGAACAGCACGGGGGAAAATGCCCCATGATTCAATTACCTCCCACCAGCTCCATATTACAACACATGGGGATTACTGGATTATAATTCAAGATTACACAGCCAAACTATAGCACCATATATCCTGTGTCCTCCTCATTCTAAGGGCTTTGGATTGTCTGGCCCTTCCTCATCCTTTGAAGATGCTCCTCCCTGTTCCCCATGAAGACACAAATACATGCACACACACAAGTGGTCTCAGACCGTCTCTTAGACCTGTCCTATCAACGTTCGGTGTTTTGCCTTGAAAGGTATTGAGAGAAAGGGGACAGGATGCTCACTTTCCTGGTTTTGATTAAAAGTCTCTCTTTAGCCCTTGGATCATTAAACCTATCTGGGAATCTGTTGTCTTGCCTTCTGCCCCATCTCATATATCTCACCAGGGTCTAATTCTCCTGCTTCTGTTCCAATTACCCTATTCCTTTCCTTTTCTAACTCAATGGGCATTTGTTTAGTTTTGGAGAGAGGAAGGAAAAGGGGTACAAGTGAACAAGTTCTCTGAAATGCAGTTTGAGCAGGCCAGCATGTGAAACACATCAGTTAGTACTTCACATACCACCTGTCCACATTAGCTTGCACAAATGCCGTTATCACAGATTGCCAATGTTGACTCTCTCCCCCAAGGAACTGTTAACTGTCTGGGTATATAGTTGACTCCTGGCCTTAGAGCAGCATTGTTGCCCTAAGGAACACTGACTATTTATTTTCCTTCATGGCCTGGATAGAAGAATATCAAGGGTCTGTTTTTCCTAATCTAAAACATGTTTCCGGGTTTTCAAGGAAAGAGATGCTTTTCTTGTTTAAAACTAAAGCTATCTTTGTGGGATAATACAAACTACTTAGGCTTACCTAAACTAAGCTATAAGTCTTTCCTTTACTTATGCTGGGCTTTAGAATTTTCTCCAATGTTCTACCTCCTACCAATGAAAAAAGTGGGATGAATCTTAGAGTTCTTAATTATTGAAATGATGAGAGGGTGCTCAACATTGTCTCTATTTTTAAAAATATGTGAGCCCCATGAACAGACAGTGATGCTCATTGTATACTAAAATATTTCTACCCCGAATGTATGATTAAAGCCAATGTGAAGAGGCTTGTCATGAAGAGAGTTCACCTTTTTGAATCCAAATCCAGTTCTAAAGGATAAAATCCCTGGTTGTGCAGGGCATAACTGGTAGGAGGAGATGATATGAGGAGATGATGTTAGAGATGGTATTTGCCAGGGTTTGGGGTTCTGCATACTAACATAGTGAATAGGAACCTGATACCAATGTCACTGACTGAGCCATAGTCCTATCCCAGGAGTGCGGTTCTTCTGGAGAGAAAGTAGGGCTAGTCAGGTCTCCCCAAAAAGAGGCTTTTGAACGACAGAAGAAATAAGGGGCCAGGAGGAGCAGAAGGAATCCAGGATTTATGAGACTCACTGTCCTAGGTGAAAGCCTCTCCCTGTGGCTCTCTCCTTTGCTACCTTTCACAGAGGCTGTTTGTTGTCTGATCCAATATCCATATTCTTTTATTTTCCTTAGTAACAGACACTCATTTTATTGGGATGCACATGCACTCATCTAAACGACTATATCTCCTAGCCTCTCTTGCAGCTAGTATGACAATGTGTCTAAGTTTTGGTTAGTGAGACACAAAAGGAGGAATTGTGGGGACTTCCATGAAATCTTCTTAAAGAGAAGTAGTGCACAGCTCTTTGTTCTTCCCATTTTTCTAATGGCTTGCAATGCTGATTTAATGCCTGGTGTTCCAGCAGCCATCTGGAACATGAGGCCTTAATGATATGGAACCAACATTGCTAGCCCTGGATAGAAAGAGCAATTTCTATCTTGGTTAAGTCATGATTTTGTTTTTAATTTTTCTATTTCATACAGCTGAATCTAATGCAAGCTGATAAAACACCCTTATTAAAGTTATTCTCGGAGAGTTCTCTCTACAATTCACTCCCTCTTTCTAGTACCTCCACTAGGTGCTTATTCTGTACATTTTGGAACCCCTGTTTCGTTGTGGATCAGATCTTTGGTGATTCCACAGACATGTTTTTCAAATGCCCTTTCCCTTCCTCGCCTTGCCTTGGTTTTCTCTTGAGACATCAGTTCTTTATTTTCTGATGTCTTTCTCCTTCTCCACTTGCTGTATGGAGTAGAAAGAGCCAGGATCAGGGAGAGAGGAACATCTCATCCTTCCCACTGCCACCACCATTACTCCCATGCCATTCTGGAAAATTTCCTGTTTTGAAGTACATAGTCCATCTAATCTTTGTTGCCATTGTCACTGGCTGACATGGAGAAAATTCTCCCACTTGATTGCTCTTTCTTTCTTTATGAAATATATCCTTTCTGCCTGTCAAAAGTCACACATCTTCCAGACCCAACCCAATTGCCATTTCTTTCACCTTCCCTACAACTACATGTCATATTAACACTTGTATGGCAGTTACTATATGCTGGGCAGTGTTCTGAACATAAAATAACAGAGCCAATCCTCACAGCAGTCTTGTAGTGTGTACCCTTCCCCCCTTACAGCCCTTTTCCTATACCCCTTTTAACACAATGATCTTTGTGATTTGCTTTGTTTCTCTCCAAAGGTAGCAGGGATCTATTCTGGTGAAAGAACAGGAACACACAGGTCTTTTTGCAATCATTTTAGATTTCCAGAAAAGTTGCAAAAATAGTACAGAGTTCCTGTATACCCTTTCCCCAGTTTCCCCAATATTGACATCTTAACATGATAATGATACGATAATCACAACTAAGAAATTAACATGGGTCCAAAACTATAAGCAAAATGACACACTTTGTTAGGATGTCGCCAGTTTTTTCACTAATGTCCTTTTTCTGTTCTAGGATATGACCCAGGATTCCACATTGCATTTACTTGTCTTACATCTTTAGACTCCACTAATCTATTATAGTTCCTTTGTCTTTCACGACTTAGACACTTTTAGACAGTATTGGAAAGTTATTTCATAGAATACCCTCAGTTTGAATTTGTCTGATTTTTTTTTTCCTTGTGAGACAGGGTTTTACTCTGTTGCCCAGGCTGGAGTGCAGTGGTGTGAACATGGCTCACTGCAGCCCCGACTTCCCAAGCTTAAACAATCCTTCCACCTGAGCCTCCCAAATAGCTGGGACTACAAGCACACACCACCACGCCTGGCTAATTTTTGTATTTTTTTGTAGACAGGGTTTCATCATTTGCCCAGGCTGGTCTCAAACTCCTGAGCTCAAGCCATCTGGCTGCTCTAGCCTCCCAAAGTGCCTGATGTTTCTCTGTGCTGAGATTGAGGCTATGCATTTTGAGCAAGTGTATCACACACGTTCTTGGTGTATCATGTCTGGGGTTACCTGAGATCAATGCATCTTATCGCTGATGATGTTAACCTTTGTCACTTGGTTATGCTGGTGTCTACTGGGTATTATAAAGTAATAATTTTTCCCCATTCTAATTTATAAATATCTTGAGGGAGATACTTTGAGAGTATATAAATATGCTGTTTTTCTTCAAACTGTCACCTGCTATCTTTAGCAAGGTGATCTCACTTGCAATAATTATTATAGTAGTATTCTAATATATGGGGTCTTCTTTTTCCTTTACTTCTTCTACATGTATTCACTGGAATTCTTCTGTAAGAAAGAGCTGCTCTTTCTCTCCTATTTAATTAATGTTTTGTTTACATCACTATGAACTCATGTATATCTATTATATGGGTTATAATCTAATACTGTTATTTATTTTGTTGCGCAAATATTCCAGCTTTGGCTAATGGGAGCTCTTTCAGGTTGGCTCCTGGGCCCTTTCAACAATACCCATTCCTAAGCATGTCCTTAATTTCAGGAACAAGATGCTCCAGGTTCATCTTATACTTTTCCCTGCCTCAGCCACTTCTTCGTGGAGTCAGGGTTCACATTTTGACTCAAGTTAACTTCTCTGAGTCTCAGTTTCCTCACTTGGAAACAACTGGAATAATAATACCTACCTTACAGGGTTGTTATGGGGATTAAATAAATAATGTAATGGGGTAATATTTAGACATTTTTAATGGGCTTTTTTTCTTTGCACTCTCCAACATAGACTCTGCTTCTTGAGTAGCCCTGGACTGGTACTATGCAACAAGACTCCTGTCTTAAGAAAAGATTTTCCAAATTCCTTTATCTTCTCTCCCAACCCAGCCCTCCTCCACTTTCTCCCAGGGTTCAAAGGGCTCAACAAAAAGTCAAGGCCTTTTGGAGGCGATATTATCAACTGGTATTCTCAGAGGTGCCTGCTCTCCAGCAGGAGAAGGGTTAAATGCTTTGTGATAACTTCAGCTCTGAACTGCCAAGTCTCTTAGGTTCAGCTCAGCAATCAAACTGCATAACCTAATAGAGCCCCTGGTGCTATGGGAAACACAAGACACTGATTTATATTTTAATATCAGTAATTTCCACAAGAGCAACATTTCTG